TTTTGTACACCTCCATCTACGGGGTGAAGAGCTTATCTCACCTGGAAAATTGCTAAAAAGAGCTAAATAGTACTAATATTAGCTAAAATGAAGAGATACATATTTTTGTTAAGGTTGAGCATTTTTTACCAGAGATTTAAACCTGGTACCGCGGGGAACAGATGCCCATGTTAGGTTTAATGGATGACAAAATGGCAAGTCTAAATAGTTGTAGGGTTAGGCATGTATATTCTGGTAAGTTTTCGTAAGTCGCGTGAGTCGAGCTGGTCGAGCACTACTCCGGTCCGTTCAAAGAGGTACGGCTCTTTGGAGAGTATCGCGGGGGCTGTGGTTGAATACCTAAATGCGGGTAGAACTCGCCAGGGTTTAATGTGGAGTTGCATTTCAAGCGGGTGCCGGGACCAAAAGAAGGGCAAACATTTTAGGTAAGTTTCGGTTTTACCAAGGTGGTAAGTGTGTCCTCCCACACTGCCATTGGTACTGAAATTCTTGCATTTCAGGGCAATGATTAAGGCATAAATTAATCCGTTGAGCTTTTGAGCTTCCTGGAGCTTGAACAGCATTAAATTGCGGTAGGTTCCCACGTTAAACCTAAACTATAGATGGCCTCTTGAGTGATGCCATTTAATTTGCAGGTTGCCATGAGTATCCCAATCTTATATCTGTATTCACACAGTGGAAGATTGGTATCTTTCCTGAGGGTCAATTCTCGTTCTGCGTTATTGCGATATATTAAAAATAACACTTTTAAAGCGCATTTATTTCGGTGTCAATTTTATACTTTTCATCGGCTCTGCAATTTCTTTCAATATCTCTATGTACCGGAACCAGAGCTGTGTAATGATTGAATCAATTGAGTGTGCATTCTCATTTTTTTCGTTTCAAAAATGTGATTGTTTGATTTAAAAAATTTAACAACCACTCTTGAGATTGGTTACAAATTGTAAACACAAAATATGTAGTGTGTTATGGAATGGTTGACACCCATTCACATAGAGAATGTGAATGCAAAAAAAAAACTCAATCATGTATGATTGGACGTTTATGGGAATGCAATCTGTCATTATCATTCAGTACTAATACTATTTGTTGTATCAGGGTTGAAATTTTTGTACTCAAAATGTGAAACCAGAAGATTGCCATCTCCCTTAAAATAAGTAAACAAATAAATATTTGGTGCTAAA